TATTGACGACCAGGTGAACGAATTGTTAGCCGCAGGACAGATAGAACCTTCCACAAGCCCATATAGTACACCCATCGTCCTAGTACGTAAAAAGAATGACGAGAGTCGCCATGATATCGATACCCATCAGCTACCGATATCGCTGGGGCGGAGTTGCCACTTGCTCGCTGCGATATTCACCATGAACTACGTTTCAATTTTGCGTGTGCCCATCGATCGCACTATCATCCAGTGCCAAACGACCGCCTATCAAGGCGACCCCTTCCCTGGGTCATGGTGATTTCGCAACTTTCATAGGAAAGTTTTCGAATTTCTTTACTCCTTTCTACCCCAACCTTTCTCTCTCCTTTCATTCTTTCTCGCCCTTCCGTCGTCTTCAGTCGGCTGAGCCTGGTTCCACGCTAGCAACACTCGAGACCGGGTGCGGAGAGGACTTCGTATTTGCCTCGCAGCAGGTAAGTACTGTGGTGTTTGTTTTTTGCTTCCTGCATTTGCTTCTTTGCATTTCAGGTTGCTGGAGCCGCCATGTATGCCCCTCTCCGTAGTCAAACTCCAGCACGCGATCCTCAAACACGCGGCCTTCGAAAGCACCAGAAATGTAAGCCTTGACGAAGGCACCATCGCTGGGAGTGCGCTTCTTATCGCTGGCCTCCAAAAGATCGTCGCCCTTCCAGCCCGTCTTTAGACGCCCTGTTCTGATCCCTTTGTGTTCTTGTCGTTCTCGTATTTCCTTGCACCTTTGTAGTTGCCCTGTAGTATCCTTGCAGATGCCTTGGACTTATCTTATCGAGTTCTTGTAGTTATTTCGTAGTATCCTTGGCGAGTCCCTGGAGTTATCCTTGGAGTCACTTCGTAGTAGCCTGTCGCCTGCTGTCGGTTAGGTGGCGACCATTGGTCGTTTTCCCGTGTCTCCTAGCTGCTGTCTCTTCACATCTTCTGCATGTTTCCTGCGTTGGTGATGATGACTAGGACTTTGAGAATTTGTTTTATTGCGTAAACACTTCCCGTTCCTTTTCGAGTTCTTCGTACTCATCTGCTCATATCATCTGCGTGTCCAGGTCCGACACGTTGTACGCCCTTAGACAGATCCTTAGACTTGGGGTGCAGTTTTCCTTGATGATCCTTAGGGTCTCTTTCGCAGAATAAGTGGGCTCACCATCGTCTGCATGTCGATCATGTAGTCTTTGAACGACTCGCTGAAGCCCTGCTTCCGTTGCCTGACCTGATCCGCCAGTCTGGTAAAAAAGTCTCTCGTCAGAAACTATGTGTAGAAGCTATCTATGAACTCCGCCCAGTTTTTCCATTGTTTGTTTTTGGCGATGAACCACTTAAAAGCCCTTCCCTTGAGCAATTCCGGCATCGCTCAGGGAATCATTTCTAAACTCAAGCCGTATGTGTTGGCGGACCATTCCACCTGCTCCAGGAACTCGAACGGTTTTTCCGCATCGTCGAACCTGGACGACCATTCTCGGACCTGTTTAGCGATCCTTGCATAGTCTTACTGACTGGGTCTCGAGATCAGCGCTGCTATTTTCCTCTCTTGGCTTGACTTTCTCCTGTGTGCCTCTTTTTGTAAGTTGTCAACGCTCAGGCTTGCCACTAGGTTGTCCCTAGTTAACGTGATGCTTGGGTCGGCTTTGTCGTGGTATGTAGCTTCCAGCTCGGCTCAGATGTCGACGAGTTGTGGGTCATTAACCGTTTTTCAGTAATACTCGGATAATGCCATTCTTATGTCTTCTAATCTGCCGTCCAGGGCTACATTAAACCTCTGTGCGACATTGGCGAAGTCCTCCTTTTCAAGCCGGTAGATCCACTTTTTTCCCATTCGGTTTAAGTTGCTTTCAGTGCTGGGACAATCACGTTGGTCGCCAGAGGTAACGAACTGATTTTTGTGGTCTGCTCGCTACGAGATTCGTGCGGCTAGCTCAGTAGAATGTGTGTTCGTCCCACCAAATTTATATAAACCTTACCTCCCAGTAGCTCAGTGAGAAAGTACAGAATTCACGGGTTTGTAGTGGGTGTATTGCGGAAATGTTAATACAAATGACTTGGTAGCTTGGTTGGCCTTTATATCGCCAGTTGTGGCCTTCGGTATCTCCGACGGCCCTGCTTGTCTCGACGACCTCTCGCCTCGTTGTCTCAGTGCTCCAGTCCTGTAGCTCCCTGAAGATCATTGAAGCTCCCTGAAGATGTTCGCTCGCTGCTCGTCCCTGACGCGCTGATTCGGTGACTGCTTATGACGACTCGGACTCGCGAGGGGGGTCAGCCTTGCGGCCTTAGGGAATTGTCACCGTTCTCAGACTAGGGTGAACAGATGCTGCGCTCTCCAGGATCACTCCTTTCAACACACCGCCGCCTATCCCTTGCTCTGTCCCGGATGGTTCCACTGAGGTTTCTGCTCAGCCCGCGCGGACAGTCAAGGCTAAACGCCTGGAAGCTGCCTCTCCCTTTAATTCGCTTCCTCGCCTAGTGTCAACTACCGTTCCTCCCAAGCCTCACCCTTCTGCTTATGGTCCGGGACGATTCCGCGTGGCTCGATCTGTCCTGCGTGTTTGTCGTGATGTGGTGGCTGGCTTGCTGCTGACAATGTCTTGCGCACTGCTCCTGGCCGTGCTGGCTCCGCGGCTGGACGTATCGTGGCTTCTGGTACTCGGGGACTCGGGCGTACGTCGATCCGGGACTTCACGAGTCGAGACCGTAGGGCTATCCTGGACAACTCCACTCGAGACCGTACCGATCGACCGCTCTCCCTTCTGGCTTGTTATACTCGGGATTCTACAGGCATAACGCCAGGACTGCTACCTGCGTCTCAATTCAGAGATTCCTGGTATCCCAATCCCGAATGCCTCGACGTAGCGATCTTGCTCCCTGTAGGCTCCCACGGCGCTGCTTTTCCGACGACTCGACTTGTTGTAGCTCCCTTGTAGTTTATTTGGTTGACTGACTGTTCACATTGGTATCTTGACTGATCTTGAAGGTTTGACTCCTCGTGATCGACTGATCCAGCTGCCAGCGCTCTGCCGCCTTATATAGGGCCTCCGGGAACCGTGATTTCCCTTTTGCACACGGCCCGCTGAAACTCTCCACTCCGGGTCGAAAGTCCGTAACTCCTGTTTGACCCACTTGTCCTTTACGCACAGCTTCCAACCGAGGTTCTGCCCAATGCTGCCGTCCCGCTGGTTCCCGTGATGCTTGTGGCACGCCTGTGTGCCGCTCCGCTGCCGAGATGTGGCACTTCTTCTCCCGGTCCAAAGTTCACGGCAGAGTCCAAAGTCCGGTGGACTTCCGTTATCCCCTTTTGCACACGGCCCTCTCGCTCTGCCCGCCAAGTCTCCACTCTCTCATTCTCCGCTCCTAAGTCTTTAAACTCTCTTGTTCTCCAATTTTGGTCTCCAAACTCTCTTCTTCTTCAACCTTTGTCTCCAACCTTGGTCTCCAAGCTCTCTTCTTCTCCAACCTTGTCCTCCAAACTCTCTTCCTCTCCACCCTTGGTCTCCAAACTCTCTTCCTCTCCAACAGCTCCTCGCCGCGCCGTTAGTACGCGAATTCGGCGCGTATCTGGTAAGCGGCCGGCCATCTGTCGCTGCTGCTGCTTAGATTTGTGGGGAGTTATTCAACTTCTCACATTCCCCCCTACCTCGGGAAACATTTAAAAACTCGTTCCTACTCTCCTTGCAAATCCTTGTAACTCCATTGAGTTTCTACAGCGCTGGTCATCCTTCTCGTAGCAACTTCAAATCTCCCGCGCCAATCCTCCATCTTTTCCGACTGGGCATCGATACCCATCAGCTATCGATAACACAGCGGGGCTCCCCATGATACCCATGAGCTACCGATATCGCTGGGGCGGCGTTGCCACTTGCTCGCTGCGATATTCACCATGAACTTCGTTTCCATTTTGCGTGTGCCGATCGATCGCACTATCATCCAGTGCCAAACGACCGCCTATCGAGGGTCATGGTGATTTCCCTGGGTCATGGTGATTTCGCAACTTTCATAGGAAAATTTTGGAATTTCTTTACTCCTTTCAACCCCAACCTTTCTCTCTCCTTTCATTCTTTCTCGCCCTTCCGTCGTCTTCAGTCGGCTGAGCCTGGCTCCACGCTAGCAACACTCGAGACCGGGTGCGGAGAGGACTTCGCATTTGCCTCGCAGCTGGTAAGTACTGTGGTGTTTGTTTTCTGCTTCCTGCATTAAACCTGTTCGTACCCAAAGGTACTCAACATGACCACACCCAACAAATCAAGCAGTAGCCAAGTTGGGTACAGTACCAGGCGCTCAGTAGCACTCACTGCAGATGAGAAGTGCTTATCACCATGTTATATGTCTCAATAACTCACCGTCTCACCGACTCAACGGCGCACTGACCCGCCAATGCAGTCAGCATATGTTGCAGTGTCAGTACCAGGCGCTCAGTAGCACCCATTGCATATGAGAATTGCTGAGCAGCATATTATATGTCTCACTAACTCACCGTCTCACCGACTCAACGGCACACTGACGCGCCAATGCAGTCAGCACATGTTGCAGTTTTAGCCGAGTCAACTGCACCATAATCATAATTCCCTGACCTTCTTTAGATTATAGCTTATTTCACTAATCATTACACTAAGCTTCTTTGTTCCAAAAAGTATATAAGCAGGTATCAAATGAAGAATAAATCAGTTATCAAAGCATCTCATAACTCCGCGGTTCTACTTCCTACCTCTGGGAATAGGGCTCGTAATATACTATCTCCATTAGCAGCTAACCTATGTTAGCTCAACCTCAGCGTAGTTCCGCATAGCCTGTGGTTTGGCATCGCAGTAACCATCGTTACCATTGCCGTGACGCGATCGTCCTGCCAGCAAATTGTTCCCGTGACAGCGACAAGTGCTTATTACCCCCTTGTCCCGCGGTGTGACGTGGAAGTGTCTACTTCGGTTAGGCACAAACACTTGACGACATTTAAAAATATTGTGATATGATTTTATTTTCATAATTTTCGGCGTGCCCTACATACGCTGCTATCGGGTCCCAGTTAGTCCCATTTAATATGTTGATCAACTCATCTTTAGTCATCGCTTTCCTGACGAAGGGATAAAGTCGGATTTCCTGCAGTATCGGGCATCTTGCCATGAAGCCCTGGGTGTTATCCTTATCTAGCGTGTTGCATAGGGGCCACGCACTATCTTTAGTTTGGTGGTGAGGTCTATATTTAAGCTGAAGCATTTGAACTCTTGCCTTGAATGTGAAGGTGATTTCCTCGGTCCTCATCTCGTCCTGAAAGTAGTTCAAGTCTGCTAGATTGTAGTTTAACCTAGAATATATATTTGAAAGGGAGACTGGCGCTGTGGATATTACCATTAAAGGCATTTGGCTTCAACATTGAGTACCGAAAAGGGAAGGACATCATCGTGGCCGACATGCTATTCCGACCTAATGAAGCCGCCGAAGTGGAGTTCTTCGACTTTGAGACGACTGAGTTTTAGTGTCCGGAATATCTGGAAAGAATAAAATTAGTCAAAGAGCATGGAAAGGATAAGTTCTTGACTTACGGTGGGAAGAAGGACTTCTATTCAAGAAATCACGCTTCAAAAGGGAAGAAAGCGATGAATTTGAATGGAAACTATGGATTTCTGAAGCACGGATGGTGACTCTTATCCGGCAAGATCACAACGGCGACATGGCAATGCTCGGAGGTATGGCAAAAACCTTAGCGAAACTCCAACAGATTTACTACTGGCCCATTAGGAGTAATTGCATCGCGAAAGGTATCTCTCTCTATCTAGCGCTCTCATTTTTGTGTACTTGCATTCTCGGGCCCAGCATCTCGACATTAAATGCACTCTCGTCTCGTCTGTTGTACTCTCTTTCGCCAATATATTGTTAGCAAGCATAAAGCAACCCGAAATTCGTTTTTTTAATTTTTCAAAAACTAATAAAAAAGCCAACATTGGTGACCCCGACGTGATTTGTGTATAAAAAATACTAAGTGCAAATAATATAAGTCTACTTATTGACATTTCGTTCTTGCGGTTGCATTGCATTGGCGGAGCAACAAATTCAGTGAGCGCTATAAATAAATGGCAGTTGGTGATTGCGAAAATTTACAAAAAAAAATTAATAAATTTACATAGGAGCGCACATAGCCAAGTAACGGGCTGTTATTCCCTCGTTTGCTTTGCGCTCATTTTCCCGCTGGAACCGAATTTTGGGCATTTCGTCTGCTGGGTTTGTTGTTGTTGTTGAAGCCATGCCTACCGGAACTTTTGGAGATGTTACCGCTGATGCAAACACGGCAATATTTTTAATAGAGTGGAGCGTTTGGCGGATTCCCTATCAAGTGCGGCGTTAACTTCATGCGACGAATGGAGTTGATTGATGAGCTTCAAGAGTCATTTAAAAAGGTTCTCGGTGAGCTCGAAGAATTGGATTTCGAGGAAATTGAAAGTGATTTAAGTGGGAAATTTGATGACATTCTCGTTATTCTGAAGTCATCGGTTCGATCCGAAATTTCAAAGCGCGCCTCACAGCTTCTTTCGCACTCAACTTTTGCTGATGCCATCACTCCGGGAGTTTTCGGCCCCAGCGGCGTCAGCCTCGACATAGGGCAGCATTGCTGCCCCCACTAGAGCTTCCAAAATTTGCTGGAGGTTATGCAAATTGGTCTGACTTGTATTCTATGTTTACCACGATCATAGATAGTAATCCAGACCTCACCAACGTAGAAAAGTTGCAGCATCTACGATCATGTCTGAGGGACGCAGCGTTGGAAACTATTCGCTCATTGGAAATATCGGATGGCTACTACGAAATTGCTTTGGATTTGCTGCAAAATAGATTTGATAATCGACGTTTGGGTTTTCAGGCACACAATACTGAGATTCTGGGACTAAAGGCGGTGCAGAGTAGTTCCGTCTCGACACTTCCTGAGCTGTCCGATAAATTCAACGCTCATACTCGCGCTCTCAAAGGACTGGGCACGACGGAACAAATCCCAGGATTCATCATCGTCCAAGTCCTGTTCCAAAGTTGGATCCGGCAAGTCAGGCAAAGTGGGAAGAGCATTTAGAGGACCCTGCCTTCGTCAACTTAATTCCTACGTGGGAGTCACTGGCATCATTTCTGGAGCAGCGATGCAGGACGTTGGAGACTATGGATTTCGCCATAGCAAACTATGCGCCGGGCAATCAGGTGGGAAGTAACAGAATACCCAAGGGGCTTAGATCAATATTTGTTGCCTCGAGTTCTAACCCTAGTATTTGTACATTCTCTAATGATGCGGGGCATTTTATTTCTTATTGTCAGAATTTTAAAACCCGGTCTCCTGCGAATAGGCTTCAAGAAGCGAAACGGCTCGGTCTTTGCAAAACCGTTCCAGGGTTTTCGTTCCCTGTCGAGCTCTACTCGATTCGGGCTCCCAACTGCTTCAATAACGTCCCGATTTGCAAATCAGCTTCAAATAAAGAAAATAAAATCTTCAGCATCTGTAACTGGAATAGAAGATTCCAGTTTTGTGACGGATGGTCACTCGGTCAATATTACGATTCAGTCCCGAACTTCCGAATACTAAGTCAACATTACCGTAGTCATTGCTCCGAACATAACAGAGCGACAGCCTACCTTCAACGTCGACATCGTCTTTTGAGAGAGTCCTACCAGCAAGCTTATCGAAAATTCTTGTCCCTAGAGAGAAAGTTGAATCGTCAGCCAGCCTTGAAGGCTCATTATGCAGCATTCATAAAGGAATACATCGATCTAGGACATATGTCATCAGTTTCTGCCGCTGACATCGGGCTGTGCCGATACAACTTGCCTCTTACAAAGCTTCGCTTAGTTTTTGATGGATCGGCGGGCAGTTCCTCAAACTATTCTCTCAACGATGTTCTTATGGCAGGCCCTGTAATTCAACCTAAGCTGTTCCAGATTCTTCTTCGGTTTCGTTCACACCCAGGAGCAATCACAGGAGACATTTGCAAAATGTACCGTTGTGTTAGGGTTCAGCCTGAGGACAGCCATTTGCAATGCATTTCGTGGAGGGATTACCCCCAGGACCAATTGCGGGTGCTTAAACATTCGTCGCGATTTTAATGTGGATAATTTGATATCGGGAGCCAAATCCAAGGAAGAGGCAGTCATCATTGTGGATAAGGCATCAAAACTTCTAGCCAAGGGAAAATTTAAGCTTTGAAAGTGGTTCTCGAATGTGTCAGCTGTTTTGGATGTAGTTGCAGACAAGGATAAGGACTGGATAAGACTGGATCCTTAGGTCTCGCTTCGGATCCAGTTTCTGACCAACTATTGTTTTCCTTTTCGGTCTTACAGTCAGCATAAAGCTGACCAAAGCATAAAGCTGATCACCAATTCGAAAGTTTTCCTTCAACAACTGTGCAAGGAGAAGTTATCCTGGGATGAAAGCCTTCCTAAGTCAGAAAATACGGAATGGAGTGCTATATGCACGAGTTTTGGGCAGATTAGCCATGCGTCTTTTCCTCGGCTGGTTCGTTCTCCAAACTCTGAGAGTGAGATTCATGGATTTTGTGATGCCAGCATAGAAGCATCAAGCAGGCCGATCTCAATTACTTTGCTCAAAGTCAAGGGTAGCCCCCTTGAAAACACTCACTGTACCCAAGCTGGAACTGTGTGGGGCGGAGCTCCTGTCTAGGCTCATCGCAGAAGTGGCTGGGACGAGTGCATTTGAGGGAAAGTTTTACTGCTGGAGAGGCTCTGCTGCGCTTTTATGGATCCGAGACTAGTAGCTGCCTCCTCTCTGGGCTTATGGAACAAAATTTCTTTGTGGCCCCAAAGCTGACTGGCCAACTCCAACCATTGCTGGAAAGCCAACGCTTGAGGAGGATTCGCCGGAGGATTCTACTAATAAAATCTCCATACGAAGACATAGTGTCCAGTTCAAAATTTGCCAATTCCTTTGCTGCCCTTCAAGGAATTTTCGGATATGTCTATAAGTTTAGTAATCGCATCCGTCGCCCTACGCTCACGGTGTCTGACCTTCAAGGCGGTACTCTGCGGTTGCTTGTCTTGTCCAGCGCTCACATTTATGGGATGACATCAAATCATTGCAATCAAAATCAAAATCATCAAATCGCATCTCTTTCGCCATTCATTGACCAATTTGGGCTTCTTAGAGTGGATGGCCGGCTAAGGAATTCTTCACTTCGAGTAGTGGAGCACATAATGGCGGATCTTCCAAAGGAGCGACTTGATGGATCTCAAGCATTCAAAGTCACTGGCATTGACTTTTGCGGGCCATTTCTCTACAAGTCAGAAATGCGAAGCAAGCCTCCAGTAAAATGCTACGTTTGTGTCTTCATTTGTTTCGCCACAAAGGCTGTTCATTTGAAGTTGATCAAGTATCTCTCTACATGGCCTCAAATAATTTATTTGCACTAGATAAAGGTCGCGGCAGATTCGGTCTGATAATGCAACCAACTTTGTTGGCGGTCGCCATGAGCTGCTCGAACTAAGGCGCCTATTTCTTAGCTTGCCTAGCGGAGGCTATTGGTTGGTGCTTCATTCCTCCTAGGTCGCCAAACTTTGGCGGTCTTTGGGAAGCGGCTGTGAAGATCGCTAAGCATCATTTCTACCGCGCTGTTGGCACTGCTGTTTTAGCCTTTCAGGAGTTGCGGACCCTTGTATGTCACATTTCGGCGGTTTTTAATTCTAGACCATTAGTCTCGATTTCAAAAGACCCCGCTGATCTGGGTGTATTAACCCCAGCACATTTTTTGAGTTGTGGTCCGCCTTCCTCTGTCGTCGAGCCGGATGTGACCAGTCACATTCAAGCGCTTGGATGGATGGCAACGCGTAGCCTACTTTCAGCAGATCTTTTGGTCCCGATGGAAGGAAGAATACTTAACACTACTGCAGCAGCGCTCCAAATGGCGCACCCCAAAACCTGGCCTGGTTGTCGATGACTTAGTTCTGGTCAAGGGCGAAAACTTGCCTCCCATGAAGTGGCGCCTCGCTAAAGTGATCGAGCTTCTGTTCGGTGGAGATGGGGTTGCTCGAGTTGCCGTTTTGAAGACAGTCCGGAGTGACAAAGCGAGCAGTAAAAAGGTGTGTCTGCTACCCCTTAAGGTTGTAGTCACGCAGCCGCAGCAGCTAATTTACGTCTTAATTCGATCTCTTATATTAATTGCATCCCGAAAGTTATCTCTCTCTATCTCACATTTTTGTATACCTGCATTCTTGTGGCCAGCGTTGGGCTGGCTGTCCCGTTGTAAAATCAGTACGAACTCTGATCTCGACATTAAATGCACTCTCGTCTCGCCTGATGTACTCTCTTTCGCTAATATATTGTTAACAAGCATAAAGGAACCCGATATTCGTATTTTTAATTTTGCAATAACAAATAACAAAGCTTATTAGTTCAACACTCAATGTTACGCAAATTCAGGCCTAAGCAGAAGGGAAAGATCACGTGAGTTTGGGTGCTTTTTTGATTTATCAAGCGGAGCTAGCCAGGTTCAAAGCAAATTGGTAACAAATTCTCATAATATGTCTGGCCACGAAGCTGATGATCCGGACTTAGGAGGTTTTGTTACACTTTAAAAGGAGCGTCTTCAAAGTCTAACACGTCTGCAGCAGAACTATAAGAAGGATTCCGCGTCTCGAAAAACCGAAAGCTATTATATGAAGCGCCTGCAGCAAATCGAGAGCTTGAACTCGGCTTTTGAGACCGCCCACCAAGTATTCATCTGCACAGAGGGATACGCCAAAACGGACTATTACGCCAAGAAGATCGCCGTCAGATTTGAGGATCTGTACATGGAAACCTACTGTCTTGTAGCTGAAGGCCAAAGAACTAAGTTCCCGGTGATGCTGTTCTTAGCCTCTCCACCGCCCGCCGTTTCAACGGGTTCCTACGTACGCGTCCTAATGCCACAATTGCCAGGGCCCAAGTTTAGCGGGAATTGCGTTGACTGGCCAGGATATTATGACGCATTTACTCGGTTAATCTCTGCCAGGTGGTCGAGATTGCGATATTCGTCAAATTCCTTTAATTACACGGTGGCATGGGACACATAGGTTCAGCGTTATAACAATCCACGCGTGGTATTTTCCAATCACATGAACATGTTGTACCAGTTGCCAAGCCTAAGCAAGTAGAAGCC